TTCATATGCTGACAAGGAGCATACGCCTAGAGAAAAAGCAGAGTTACAGAGAGACAGCCTGTCCTGGCAGGCTGGGTACCAAGCCATCATAGCACAGGCTTAGGGAAAGTGGGTTGAATGACCCTGGCCATTATTTAACTCAGAAGACTAAGAGCAATGCATCTTCTGCTGGAAAAGAAACACTTGGGACCGTGTCAGATTGAAAGTTTGTATTGCAAAAAAGCTACAGTTTCTACTTTTATTTTATTTTATGGGCTATTTTTTTTTAATTTTTGACTTGGAATTCTATTTCAATTGTAATAGTTTAGGCTGTCATTTTGCAATTCAGAACAATACTGGTTATCAAAACTCATCAGCAAACTAACATTATATTAGCCACATAGAAATTTGGCTAGGTTTTAAAGTGGTTCTGGCATACTTGCACATTATGGCAAGTATACATCTGAGTACTTTCTCCAGTGCTGATTGGTCCAAGCCTCTTTTTGCCACTATTGTGCTGTTTTTGCCCTCTTCTAATGCGGTTTCATCTACTTATGATAGTTTACTTCTTTAGCCATTAGACAGCCAGTGATTTTACATTTTTTTGGACACAAGTCTCCACTCTCAGCATCCTACTGATGTATCCCCATTGGAAGATTTCCCCTCTATTCCTGTTCCAGTGGAAAAAACCCTCAGTTTTATTCCTAGTGAAATAAGTGAACAGGACAATTAGAGTTAATCTCCCTAACAATGATACAGGCATCAACATAAGCCCAAACACAGGAACAAACAGGGTTTTAGATTCAAACTTTTTAAGGGCCACCAAAACTCTCACTGGACACACTAGCTCCAGTTCAGCAGCACTCCATAAATCAGGCAATCCCCTCAGGAACAGAGAAAGGACCCAGAGTTGAGAATCCACATACAAGGAGTCCAATGAAAGTATCAAACAAATGTCCAAGAATCCAAGGTTTTTAATGATAAAATGATTCCTAGCAGAAACATCTAAAGCGTTTTGTGGGTCAGGGGGTCAAACTTACTTCCCTATCATCAGCTCTATAAATCAAGCACAAATACAAAGGTCATAAACATAAAAGTAAAAAGTCACAAATATAAAAAAATATATACAAGTAAAAAAAAATTACTATAAAAGTCAAAGGGTATATACTCATTTGCATATAATATCTGATTCCAGTAAATAGCAGACTCAAAGATAATAATATCTTACATACAGACACTAAAGGTCACAACACTTCATTAGCAAACAAATAAATTGAATAACAGGCAATGTCTCAATAAAAACTGAAAAATATTATAGTCAGCATATCTAAAGTAAGATTTGAATTGAAATGAATTGTTGTATTTAGAACATCATACAGTTACAAAGAACACTTTTGTGTAGTGTTGTAGATACAATTCATTCAATTTCAGTGGACATCTCAAGTATCAATTTGTTCTAATTGTTGTGAATTTTGACAAATACAGAGTATTAATAGACTTTTGGCACACCACACCTTAACAAATACATTAATAAAATCACATCACTTTTATTCTTACAATTATATTGTTAAAACCAGCGAAATGAAAAATGACCATAATGACTGCTTAATACCTTAATGCTCTATCATCTACTACAAGGTAGCCTAATACGAATACATTAAGGGCATAGCCCAATATAGGATTTTGCCAGTTCCTTTTGACGGTTTTTGATAGGCAGCCTTGGACTCAATGTGGTTCATGGACTGTAGTATCCACTTCATCAGGAGTCCTAAGAGTTATATACTAAGAGAACATCAAAAAAGCAACAAATAAATATACATATAATAGTGTATAGTACATATTCCTTACATAGTAATAATTTTATAGTTTCGCAAAATACCTCTTTTTTTCTCCAGCTAGATTGAAAACTGGGCTCAAACCACAGCATCACATCAAACCACAAAAGCTGTTCTAAAGCTTTGAATAAAGGACCTCCCTGTGGAATTAAAAAAATGTAATGTCACTTTCAGTTCCATTCATTGAGGGCTAGCAGAGCAGAGGAGGCTGGCACTGAGTGGCACAGTTGGCAAGAGATATCATTTGACTTGAGATGTTTGAAAATGTGAGTTTGGCAAACAACCTGGGTCTAATAATAAAAGTGTCTGCACCAAGGTAAAATATACTGTATATTATCTAAAAGAGCTCATTAACACATACGTTTTAACTTGTTTTCATTTATTGGAGAATGTTGAGCTGTCTGTTTATTTGGAATTGTCTGTCAATGCAGTTCATTGCACAAAAATAGGTCTTGTACTATAGATACAAACATTTCGCCTTGCAATGCACAGAGAATTTGAATGTGTTTTATGGTACACTACAACACACTGCATATGTGCATTGGGAAAAAATTAAGAACGAATGTGAATATACTGTGTGTTACTGTTACAGGGTTATTGGGTTATTGGTGATCTGCAAGGTAGTGCAAGGTATAACAAAGATGCAGCCTGTAAAAGAGGAGAACACAAAACACATATTGCTCACTTGCATTCCACATTTAATTTAAACAGAAATGGATCACATTATACAGATTATTACTTTTTGACAGCACAGGCCACATGGCAAAAATGCATCAATTTGTATTAGAGAGTTACCATTACAAACATATAGGATGATAAGCAGAGAAAGTGAATGTCAGAACAAACACAAAACTGAATAAAGATAGCATAAACAAAGTGTTATTAACCTGTATCAAAGAGTAGAGCACAAAACAGGTGTTGATCGCTTACATTCCAGGTTCATTTTATTTTTATTTTTTATTTTTTATTTATTTTAGGTACTTATATTGTGCCGTCAATTTACACAGTGCTTTACATATATATTGTACATTTACATCAGTCCCTAACCCTCAAGGGGTGTACAATCTAAGGTCCCTAACTCACATTCATACATACACATACTAGGGCCAATTTAGACAGGAGCCAATTCACCTATCAGCATGTCTTTGGAGTGTGGGAGGAAACCGGAGTACCTGGAGGAAACCCACGCAGTCACAGGGAGAACATGCAAACTCCAGGCAGGTGGTTCCGGGGTTGGGATTCGAACCAGCGACCCTAGTACTGCCAGGCGGAAGTGCTAACCATTTAGACACTGTGCTGCCCGCTGTGCTGTGAGCTTGTTGGTATCAGCCTCCTGAAGTCACATTACAAATTATTAGATCTTTCTTCTAGCTGCAGTCTTTTAATTGCATTACTGGGAGGTTTATTAATTTACATGCTGCATTGCAATGCATTGTGGTCATGTTAAAATGGTTCTGAAAAAAGGAAAAAAAGGTTTTATACCTTGATGCATTCTCTTCATTAAAGTAAAAAAACCTCTCAATAGTTGCTCCATTCGCCTGTCTCCTCTTAAACACTTACCTGAGTCCATTCTTGATCCAGCGTTGTCCCGTCTGCATCAGCTCTTCTCCCCTTTCCTCTTTCTCACAGGCTTAGCTGAGAGCAACAAGAGCCTTTGGCTCCCGCTACTGTCAGCCATATTCAGCTAGGAGTGAGTGGGGGTGGGACCAAGCCATGCTGTTTGTGACTAAGGATGCACACAGTCCAGCTTGGAATCAAGCCTACACAAGTTCCTTGCTATGGAGGCACTCAGAGAAGAGAAGGAGCCATGATTACCGGCAGGGGACCCCAGAAAAGGAGGTTGGGGGCTTCTCTGTGCTATACCATTGAACAGAGCAGGTAAGTATAACATGTTTATTATTTAATTAAATTATTTAAATTTAATTTTAAAAAAAGCTTTACAATAACTTTAACCTTGAAACTACCCATTGGAATTGAATTGGTTTGTATGTGCCCCACTGATTCTGTGGTTGCTGTGCTTTCCACTCATTATTCCACACCTCTTTATTCTGTATGCTGCTCTGTACATGTCCTATTGCACAGCTCCTCCATCTGTATATGCTCCCTATTCCGTGCTGTCTCATTCTGTATGCTTCGGTGTGCATTCCTTATTTCACACATCCCCATGGATGGATCCCCACTGGAAAAAGTTTGATTTGGAAAGGCCTTGCTCTTCACTTATGATGAAAAACTTGGCCTCTGGGCCCTAGTTTCAGCAGGTACCTGCTCCAACTACCGCTGGAATCACTTAGGTGATTCTGCCAGAAGTTGTCCCCCCCTCCCTCTCTGTTTGCAACCTCTTGGGACACATCACAGGTCCCAAGAGGCTGCGGGGCCATTCACAAGGCGCAATGCAACTTGCGCATATGCATTGGGAAGCCAGCTGTGAAGCCATGAGGAGTCACAGTCTGCTTCCCACACTAGATATGCCAGCTCCAGGGACCTGAAGACTGGTGAAAAACTGTCTTGGGTGAGGATGGTGCTGGAACCCTGGACAGGTAAGTGTACTATCTTAAAAGTTAGCAACTACAGTATCTGTAGCTGCCAAATAAATCATTTTAATAATTCTGAAGTGAGTGTAAAGCTTAAATGTTTTGTTTTATTCAAATAATAAACATGGTATACTTACCTGCTCTGTGCAATGGTATCGCAAAGAGCAGCCCCAAACCTTCTCTTCTCGGGTCCCCCGTCAGTGCTCTCAGCTCCTCCTCTTCTCGCTGCACTATCTATGGGCTAGCTCCCAAACCGAGCTGTGTAAATCTATTGACATACTGTCAGGGCTCCAGCTATGACCAGAGGTGTGTGGACTGACACATGGAAACGCAGGCTTCAGATATGGTATAAACAATATAATTTATTAAGACTAACAATACAAAACGCAGTGCAAAACTAACATAAACACAGTGCAAACAAACCAAACCAAACCCACCCACCGATAACAATACATACAATACAAAGAGTAGTCAGGCAGGCCGGGTCAGTAGCAAACGGGCAAACGGAGTACCAGGAACAGGCGGGAGAGCACCCTCTGGCCAGCCCTGGTACTGCAGCCCACAAGGCAGGAGAGTCCCACCATTATTGGCAAGTCCCATTCCTGACAGTACCCCCCCCCCCAAGGAGCGGCCTCATGACGCTCCAAACAGTCCTAGCTGGGCAAAATGTTCCACATCCCAGGTCCGGTAACTGGCGGGATATCAAAGACTGGCACATCGGGCTGGGCACCGGACAGAGGCACATTGGGCTGGGCACCGGACAGAGGCACATCGGGCTGGACACCGGACAGAGGCACATTGGGCTGGGCACCGGACAGAGGCACATCGGGCTGAACACCGGATCACCAGGCGGAGCAGCAGGCACCGGGCCATCAGGTGGAGCGGCAGGCACCGGGCCACCAGGCGGGCCCCGAGTCATCTGGCAAGACCGTGGGCCCCGAGTCATCTGGCAAGACCGCAGGCCCTGAGTCACCTGGGCAAGACAGTGGGCTCCGAGTCATCTGGCAAGACAGCGGGCCCCGAGTCACCAGGCACGACAGCGAGCTCTGAGTCAACCGGCACGACAGCGGGCTCCGAGTCAACTGGCACAACAGCGGGCACTGGGTCATCAGGCATCGGGTTATCTGGCTCAACAGCGGGCATCGGGTCATCTGGCTCGACAGGGGGCATCGGGTCATCTAGTATCAGGTCATCTGGCTCGACAGTGGGTACTGGGTCATCAGGCATTAGATCGTCTGGCTCGACAGCGGGCATCGGGTCATCAGGCACGACAGCGGGCATCGGGTCACCAGGCATGACAGCGGGCACTGGGTCATCAGGCATTGGATCTTCTGGATCGACAGCGGGCATCGGGTCACCAGGCATCAGGTCATCTGGCTCGACAGCAGGCACCGAGTCATCTGGCAAGACAGTGGGCACCGAGTCATCAGGCACAACAGCGGGCATCGGGTCACCAGGCATCAGGTCATCTGGCTCGACAGCGGGCACCGAGTCATCTGGCAAGACAGCGGGCATCGGGTCATCAAGCAAGACAGCGGGCACCGAGTCATCTGGTTCGACAGCAGGCATTGGGTCACCAGGTATTGGATCGTCTGGCTCGACAGCGGGCATTGGGTCACCAGGCATTGGATTGTCTGGCTCAACAGCAGGTACCGGGTCATCGGGCATTGGATCGTCTGGCTCGACAGCGGGCATCGGGTCACCAGGGATCAGGTCATCTGGCTCGACAGCTGGCATCGGGTCATCAGGCACGACAGCGGGCATCGGGTCACCAGGCATCAGGTCATCTGGCTCGACAGCGGGCACCGAGTCATCTGGCATGATAGGATCATTAGGCTGGATCAGTTCATCAGGCTGGGTACAGACATCAGGCTGGGTAGAGACATCAGGCTGAATTGCGGGTGCCGAGGCACCAGGCTGAACCACGGAAGGTGGGTTCTCAGACGGCAGGCTGACCGGTTTGGATACTGGCAGGATGGTACTGGTTGGAAAGAATTTTCGCTTTTTTCTGGTTTTAGTTACTGGAGCACTGTAAGTAAATGCAGGTCTGTAAACGAATGGAGCAGCTAAAGACAGAGAAGAGCTGGAGGATGGAACAGTGGAGGGAGCAGTTGCTACAGAGGACTTCTTTACAGGGTTACAGAAAGGATAGGTGCAGCGAGTGGGAGCAGAGGACTGGTATGTGGTAGTTAGCAGAGTATACTGGGCCGTCACTGGGGGTGCTGTCGGGGAGGCAGGAAGAGTGCCTTGAGCAGAGGAATGATGTTGCAAGCTGACTGAGGCTGGGTGCAACAAATCTGTTCATGTCTGCAGTACTGGTTGAACAAAACTTAGCTTACATATAGCTTGTCTGACCAAAGACTGCACTGCGTTTATGGAATCCATAAGCACATGTGATGGACAAGCTGCATAATGCTCATGGAAGCAATCTGGATCATCCTCCAACCATACCAGTGATTCCACTTGATCCACACTAAATGGGGGAAAAAAGTCATTCCTGCTTTCAGGGGTACAGGACCGAGCCAACTCAGCACAAACCTGGATCAATGGTTGCACCTCAGAAAAATCTGTGCCCTAATCTACTAGGCAATGAGCGATCCTTATGCATTCTAGTAGTTGATCCCGGGGATACTCCTTCAGAGTCTGATAAGCATAGTCTTTGTCATCAAACACTAGCAGAGATAAATACACCACCTCATCAAGATCCATCCTACCCAGCAACAATAAGCCAAGATGGCTTCCCTGTGCAGCCACTTCTGGTCAGGATTGGCCTTGGTGTAATGTCAGGGCTCCAGGTATGACCAGAGGTGTGTGGACTGACACAGGGAAACGCAGGCTTCAGATATGGTATAAACAATATAATTTATTAAGACTAACAATACAAAACGCAGTGCAAAACTAAACATAAACACAGTGCAAACAAACCAAACCACCCACCGATAACAATACATACAATACAAAGAGTAGTCAGGCAGGCCGGGTCAGTAGCAAACGGAGTACCAGGAACAGGCGGGAGAGTGGTCGGGGTCACAAGCTGGGTTCAGTAACTCACGGGCAGCACGGTACAGAGGGTCGGGCAGAGAATGGTCAGGGTCACAAGCCAGGGATCAAGCAGGAGAAGTCAGCAGAGGTCAGGATCAGGCAGGGTCGGCAACAAGTCAGACAGGAACAGGAATACAGGATACAAGGTACAGGGGCCCATGGAAAAACACACACCAAGGCCCTGACTGTGAGTCTGGCCATTCCTTAAATACAACCCCTGCAATCAGCTTCAGGTGTTTGACTGATTGCAGGGGTGAGTCTCTGATTGCTGAGAGCACCCGCTGGCCAGCCCTGGTTCTGCAGCCCACAAGGCAGGTGAGTCCCACCATTATTGGCAAGTCCATTCCTGACACATACACAGCACAGTTTGGCTACACCCCCATTTCCCTCTTCACAGAATTTGATTGACAGCAGCAGGAGCCAATGACTGGCCCTGTTTTCACTGAGTCCTGTGAAAAGAAGAAAAGAGAACAGTGCAGCTGCACTCGAGCACAACGCTGGATTGAGATAGGACTCAGGTAAGTATTTACAGAGGTGAGGGGGTGATATAGCCAGTGGGACATTTTTTACCTTAACCTCTTGGCGCCGGCCGAAGGCAAATATGTAGCCTCCCGGCGTCTGGGTCTAGACACCGAGCGGCAGCACATTTGCGTACTATTAAAAAAATATATATGTGCTGAGAGCGCACACCCTGAACGCTCCCAGCACACATGTCCGGTATACATCTCCTCTTTCGATCGGGACCTTTCCCAATCATGTGACCGCCGTGACAGCGTCACGGAGGTCACTTGACCCTAAACCCCGCCTCCCGGCTTCTGAAACCCTTAAAGGGCTGGGAGGCACCTGTGCCAAGGGGTTAATGAGAGAATGCATTAAGGTAAAAATGTCCTGCCTTTAGAACTACTTTCAGTTTCAACACAGGGCTACTATCTGCTCACAGAAGCTGATTGATTGTTAACGCTTCAGCTATTAATCCCATTGTTGGTGTTTTTTTATTTTTTAAATTGGGATCTATTTAACTTTTTTATTTTATTTCATTTTGGTTTTGGCATGAATTTGAGGGAAGCAGTCACTTAGTGGGCTTTGCATTTGAAAGGGTGAAAGTTTAATGATTTTGTGTTTTCTGGGATTTAAGTGATTTTATTTTATAGTGAAAAGGTCTTTTTTTATTAACCTCCCTGACGGTATTCCCAAGTGAAGCTCGGGGTAAAGTTTCAGTACCAAAAGCCGTAACCCCGAGCTACACTCGGGATTACCCTGCAGCGTTGCTCAGGGATTCCCTCGATCACTTATCTTGTCGTTCGCTCCCGCGATGTCCCCCCTGTAGAGTCCCCGGCCATCTCCTCTGGCCGATGCCGGCATCCGACTTCCAGGTTCCGTTCCCTGCCAGTGTCAGGACGTACGGGGACGGAACCGGCGGGAAATTCAAAGATTTTAAAAGTGACATTTACTCAATACACTAAAATCACATAGTAAAACATTACTGTATCAAAGCATTTCACATACATTTTGTCCCGAGTGCTTTGTCCTGTGCCCTGCCTGCATTTTTACTGTTCTTTCTGCCTGGAAACTGAGAAATGTCCATGGCGTCCAAAAAGCGTTCCCTTTAGTCAAAAGTGATTTTAGACCATCTAGAGAACAGCGATAGTAAATTAGAACCACTTGCAGAATTGAGTGATAATGATTCGTGGGGAAATTTGTCATCAGACACTGAAAACGATTTTGCTACTAAGCTCAGTGATGTGCAAACTTGGCGTTATATTTTTTAAATTTCAGTGTTTTTGGTTTGATTACATTATTTAATTAAATGTATTATTATTATATGATTATTTTTTATGATTATTTATTAAATTATAATTTATGATTTCGTGTTTCAAATTTTATCGTACCCGGGATGTTTACTGGACTCTTGTTCGGACAGATTTCAGTGAGTTATTCCTAAAAATTACAGGCCTACAATAAAAAAACAACATATTTCTATGCAAAAACAGTACCACTTTGAGCACAGAAATACTGACATAATCAGACCGCTAGGGAGGTTAAGTATGGTGTGATTAGTGGATAGCAGTCACTTGTTGCTGACCAGGTTTCAATTCTTCTTTTTCTCCTCAGCATTTCACTGTGTCATTTGAAAAGTTATTAAAATATTTTAAACTATTTTTTTTTAAAAAGTGTGCACCACACATCATCACCCCACATTTCCCATACTTACATCTCCAATTTCCATACTGAAAGTGAAAGAAAAACTCCCCAATAATTACAGAAATGGCAGTTAAAAACTCCCAGAGGTTTTAACCCTTCCCAATCTATCCAAAATAATAAAAAAAAGTTTTGTCTAGACTTTAAAAATGCACCATAAAAGGCAAAGTTAAGAAAAGTAGCACTTTCTTCTTTGTTTAGACTTTTAATCCGAACATTTATTATTACCCAGAGGAAATAATCAGAATAAAATAGAATGTATCTGCAAAAAAATAATTAGCATTATTCAAAAAGTAAGAATAAGTAGAACATAATCAGTTTTAGCAATGAGGAGCACAACACGTCCATGTTTAATTGGAGAAAAATAGGTCACTTTGGATAGCGAGGGATGGGGGAATGTTTGCAAATAACAAGCTTAGTAATCACACTCTGTACGCTAAGAAGATCCCACGACTATCAAGATAATACCTTTCGTAAATTAATTTGACATCTAGTTTGTAGGGAAAAAACGTATTTATTATATAATTCATGATAAATAGTGTTGCTGTTTGAAGCAGAAGGAAAGATATACAGTATATAGACATTTCCTGAAAACCAACTATAGGTGATTGTTGAATTATAGAACATTTATGTTTTTTTCATTTATTATGAAATGCAGACTTTCTCAACATTTTTATTGAAGAGGAACTCTTGAAGTTATATTTAAGTCTCAGGCAAATTCTGCTAACATTAATGCATCTAGGGCCATTAGGAAAATGCCCCTAGCATTGGTGGTCAGTGGGAGGAATGCACCTCTTGTAGTGGTGATCAAAATGCCACCTTCACAGATAGCTACAAATATCATTGGTGTCATGCTGCTGTCTCTGCCAAGTGGTGTTGGACCCAGAACTATGTGAATACAATTGGATAAGAGGTCAGTCAGCCTCAGCTCAAGGAACCCTTGTCAACCTCTGAAGGAACCCTAGAGTCCCATGGAAACCTGGTTGAGAATAGCTGCTCTACAGTGAGTTACTAAATGGGTGACTCCGCTATTGATGAAAAGTTGACATAATCAAAAAATATTAAACATAGGTTAGGAAATTGTAGTCCTCCCCCCCTCCAATGTTTAAAAAAAAGCTAAGTATTATTCACCTTCTCCATGTTCCAGCATTGTCCTCAGCTTCCTCCTCCTGCCAGGGCAGAGTGACTGTGATGTCATTCTGCCCATTTCCTGTGAGCCCAGCCCAGTCATTTCCCCCAAGGGAAGTGTCAGCACACAGGCTGGACTCAAAGTATTCCAGGACTGAAGGGTGCTCACAGGTCATTACACAAGTGTCGTTCAGTCCAGGAAGAATATTAACCACTCCTGGAGCAAGATGAGGTAGCTGTTGTGACATCAACGGACTGGATAGAAGAGCGCAGAAAAAGGTGTAATATGGATTTTTTTTTTGTATAAAAATGGGATGTGGAGGCAGGTAGTGGGTTAAATATCTGGAGTACTGCTTTGAAACATCTGTGAAGTTTGCGTGCCACCTGTTTCCCATAGGGGATATTTCCCTTCACATCCTGTGCTATAGACACAAAAATGCAAAAAGTGGGGGAAATCCCTTTTAGACAGTTGTCACCGGAACACATATCCTTGTTAGATGATTTCCCATTCATTACTGCTCTGGTGAAAACTTAAGATTTCACATTTCCTATCACTTACAGTCCTGGTGGCAGTGATCAAATGTCCTACTAGTCTTTTGCAAAAA